GCCCCTGGCAGGCCTGGTCAGTTTGTTTACCTGCCGCGTCTGCAGGTTCAGCCGATCGCGGCTCCCACGGGCCGCGGTTCGCTGCTCCAGGCCAATGGGAGCTGCTGGAAGTGGCGGCCAGTATGTCCCTTGGCCCGCGACGCTTCTAGCAGCTCCCATTGGCCTGGAGCAGCGAACCGCGGCCAGTGGGAGCCGCGATCGGCTAAACCAGCAGATGCAGCAGGTAAACAAACCGGTAGCCCGCCAGGGGCTTTCCCTACACAAGCGGCATCCCAAGTTTGGGAAACACTGATCTAGATTGTACCTAGGCCTCCATGGATGCACAAAAGAGAGGAGAACCCACAAAAGAGCCACCTTGTGCTTCTGAGAGAACAGATAAAACATTTGCTTTTGAGAAAAGACCAGGAGACCCACGTAGCAACAGTATAATTAGGTGGAGATGTGCAACTTTAAAGTAATACCACAAACCTATTCCCCCACTGCACCAGCCAAAGGAGCTAAGCCAGCACAGGGGGAGCACCTAGTGGAACCTATTGAAAAGTATAGCAGAGACCACTGTTATATTCACTCTTTGTACTCCCATAGGCGCATGCGCGCGCACACAGACACACACCCTCCCTCCCTCCACTGGAAGATTTTCCTAGTACATAGAAGCCTATTCTCACAAGTGATCCATCCCCTTTCTCCCAACTTCTGGCCAAAAGAGGCTAGAGACACTTTAGAGCACGTTTTTGCACCCCTGACCATCCTGGCTAATAGCCATTGATGGACCTATCCTCCATGAACTAATCTAGTTCTTTTTTGAATCCTGTTATTGTGTTGGCCAGGTTGACGGTGTGTTGATTAAAAAAATACTTCCTTTTGTTTGTTTTAAACCTGCTGTCTTATAATGTCATTTGTTGACCCCTACTTCTTGTGTTATGAGAAGGAGTAAATAACAATTACTTATTTACTTTCTCCACATGTTTCATGATCTATAGACCTCTATCATACCCGCCCCGGGTGGTGTCTTTCCCAAGCTGATAACTCCCAGTCTTTTTAATCCCTCATCACGTGGAAACTGTTCCATCCCCCTAATCATTTTGGTTGCACTTTGTATCTTTTCCAAGTCTAAAATACTCTTTTTGAGATGGGGTGACCAGAACTGCACACAGTATTCAAGGTGTGGGTGTACATGGATTTATATAGTGGCATTATGATATTTTCTGTCTTGTTGTCTATCCCTTAATGATTCCTAATATTATGTTAACTTTTTTACTGCCCTTGCACATTGAGCAGATGTTTTGAGAGAACTATCCATGTCTCAAAAATCTCTTTCTTAAGTGGTAACAGCTAATTTAGATCCCATCATTTTGTATGTGTAGTTGGGATTTTGTTTTCCAATGTGCATTACTTTTCATTTATCAACACTGAATTTCATCTGCCATTTTGCTGTCCAGTCACCCAGTTCAGTGAGATTCTTTTCTAACTCTTCACAATCAGCTTTGTATTTAACTACCTTGAGTAATTTTGTACCATCTGCTAACTTTGCCACCTCATGGTTAACCCTTTTTTCCAGATCATATATGAATATGTTGAACAACACAGGTCCCAGCACAGATCCTTGGGGGACACGGCTATTCACCCCTCTCCATTCTGAAAACTTCCCATTTACTCCTACTCTTTCTTTCCTGTCTTTTCACCAGTTATCCCTCTTATCCCATGACTGCTTAATTTACTTAAGAATGGAGAGACACAGCAGCCTTCCTCCCTGATTTATGTGGAAATGGTCACCACGTTAGGTATGACACCTCAGAACATTCAGAGTACAATGTTATCATTATGGAAACTTTAAAAGGCAGCTCTACATCAGATTGTGAATAGCTCCCCAGCCCTTTTAGCTGATGTAATAGTTATGAGGAAATTGCAGTCTATGTATAAACAAATGCAAGATGTACAACCAAGGAACTGAAAAGAAGGACCATGGTGTCCTCTTAGCAGAACATGTAGCTAAACAAGAGACAGCCTTGTGAAATGTTACCTTTAATGGATAGACCCCAACTATCAACTATCAGCCTCCACTTCCATTTTGGGAGAGAAGATTATTTCCTCCTGGATCACCTGCCTCATAATTCCCACAGAAACCTTTTCATTCAGGCTTTGCTGCTCTGACACACAGTGTTTTAGGAGGCTAATCTTCAAGAATGACAAGGTAAC